GAAATGGACAAATGCTTCGAATTGTTAAACGCACAGTCAGAGTATATCAAGTTCACCCGAGAAAAGCCGAAAGAAAAAGGGTTTCCATTTTTGAACGTTCAAATTCACCTATCAGAAAATGGCTACATTACAAAGTGGTACCGAAAGCCATGTAGTAAAAACATCTTGGTTCATTACCTCTCCTCTCACCCCTCTCACACGAAAAGGGCACTTATAAGAAACATGTTTCGAACAGCAACCAACGTGTGCACGGGAAGAGAGCAGAGAGAGGAGTCCGGGAACTTGGCACGGCAAGTAGCCATTTCTAATGGCTACGAAACTGTAGCTCAGGATAGGTGTAGAGGAAATCGTAGGCCTCCAAACGACAACTCTAGCGATAGAAGGGTCCCGTTTATCCTACCCTTCATCTCAAATGATATAAGTACAGCTATAAAACGCTGCTTAAGAAGGGCGGGTTTAGAGAATTCGGTGAGCGTAGTTGAAATACCACCGAGTAATCTTAAGCGCCAGCTAGTTCGCAACCGCCTATATGACCGTCTATGTGCAACTCAAAATTGCATAATTTGCCCCAGTGGTAGAGACGGTGATTGCATGATCTCGGGTATAGTTTATTTGATCTCCTGTAAGACGTGTGGTGACGAATACATTGACGAAACGGGTATACCCCTCTGTGTCCGCATGAAAGAACACCTAGCCGACAAAAATAGATACCCCGCTAGGGCACTCATAGGACCCAGAGACATAACGGGGACGACTTCGAAGCATGTGTCACGATCCTGGCACGCGAATCAAGAACACAGGAGCGAAAAACTCTCGAGGCACTCTGGATTAATTCCAGAAATCCGAAAATGAACCGCAGGGAAGAATGCCTCATTATCACGCGTGATATAGGGCAGTATATAAAACTGCTTTTCTGATGGGAGGGGCACATTATACTTCCATGTGATTTCTGTGCGGTTGGTCTCTACGTGACATACTTAGTGGAAACCTCATAGAAAGCGGTGAGTGTGCAAAGCTGTGTTCAATGTGATTGAAATCTTGGTTTGGAGTTCCTTTGTTTGGTTATGGAGGCGTCTGGCCGAGTAGATTGCTATCAACTTGACTTTTCCAGGCTCTGAGGAAGGCGAAATCCGCCGAAACGTCAACTTAATCGTGAACAAAGAATAATAACACCTCGCGTTTGCTCAACAAAAATACGAACAAAATTAATAAGACTTCATTATGTCCCGTTTTGATATTTAGCTGTTCCTGAAACAAACGCAGGCCCACGAGATGACTTAGGTGCTGATATAAAGTATTTGGCTGTTTTTGAACCTCTAAAGCTCCAGAGGGAGCGAGTAAAGTAGTAATATAGCTACAACGATGTTGAGATGTTTGCAAAACTCCGAGCCGCAGTGTGTTTGCCACGGAGATCGAACCTCGGTACTACACTTTCCAGGTACTAACGCGTTCATCACTACACCCTGCGTGTCGTTCGTTTATGTTCCTGTCCTACAATAAGCTATATGTTACATATGCATTCAATCACTTTCTGCGATGCTACGAATGGAGTGAAATATATGGCGTATCTCTTGGAAATCGATCACCGCAAAAAGCTCTCAAAGACGCAATCATTTTGGAACATATGCACGTTAACACTCTCGCGACGAGTGATCTCTATACTCTACATCATAGTGAAGTCGCGAGAGTGGTCGGTATGACACCTATTCGTGTCATTTTCCCTGGTGAAATAGCATTGTTTTCTGTACTTCTTTTAATTAATCGATCTTATCCAACGCAGATGATTTTGCATTTGAAGAGTGTGCTGCCTTGAAAGGGTAGCCAGTAAAAATGGGCAACAGCATCACTTCTGATAGTCAATTCACTGCTTTCTAATTTTCAGTCGCGACTACATTCCTCCCAACGGTTTACCGCCTTACCGTGGTTAGGTGTTCCTGGGTGCTAGGCTACGATATACAGCGCGGAGATCCATTCCCTCAGCAGGGTCTCCTAAACTGAGAACGACTTCGACGTTTCCATCAGGAACAACAGCTAAGAGCAAACCTCTAGCAGGATCCATTAGCGTCTTGGTATCAAATTAATAACATGGTGGCAAATCTCCCTCTGATCCACAAAAGAGGTGACCGTGGTGGTGACACCTGGGGCAGACTTTGGCCAGGCTGACCTCGGGACTCCGAGAAAATGCAATGTCTAATGCAGCAAAACCGAAAAAATGGAAATTACGCTGGAGCCCGCACAACCAGTTAGGACGGGCCATTCCAGTATCCAAGTAAATAAGTATGATAACTTTTGGGTATTGGCTGGAATGGGAGGATATCGAAACTAAAAGGTAAACATCTTAATATTCTTTGCACAATTTATACAACTTCATTAAATGCTGATAGCTGTATGAGTGCATAGTGGACGAGTTTTTTCTTCATGTACGAAGGTAGTAATATGCATATAAATATATAATATAAAAAGCATGTGATGATGTGTAGAAGGACAAGGAGCATGTATGAGATAAGAGAATCACCTATATGTTTTCGAAACGCAGAGCAAAACCGATATATAGAATGTAAATCACAGCAAAAGAGGCAGCGCTACATAAAGACTGCAAAAGTGGCCGATGTGATATTCATACGTGTCACAATGAGCGCAACAAAAAATTACGCGTCGTCCGATCCGCAAAAACACGAAATTAGGCGCGGTCGCAAGAGTGTGGAATATGAGTAAGGAGCTGATTCAAGCCAGTCCCGTTCCCACTAGTCCCAACCACACCTCTCGAATTGGGAAATTGGTAACACACTCGTTTGAGAACAGTTGAATCCCTATAACCCATAAAAAGATGGCGCCTGCCTGTGATGATGTGAGAATATCCTAGCGAAGATATCGCAGGATTTCAGGGAAAATTCAATCGACTGGCACTCAACAATACCTATGAAAAAGGCGAAAAATCCCGAAGAAGCAGCCAAACCCACAAATTCGAAGGCTTTTGTGGATGACCGATACAAGTAGACGAAACAAGTACAACAAGAGCTTGGATCACGATCACATGTGATGTCGGGTCGTGTTAAATAAAAAACGAAAAACAAAAGATACAACACCCCGGAACGTCTTCTACAATAGTCGGACAAAAAAAGAACTTATTGAGAACATTCCGAAACAATATTACAACGAGGAGATAGCTGCTGATGTTTAACAAATAGATACACCTTTTAACAGACCTCTTTGGGCTACGGTGAAACAACTAAAACGGAGGACGAAAGCAGCTGACCCTGGCTACAAACGTTTCAAGATTTACACGAATTAGGATATTCGATCACATCAACTCCAGTAAATCCATATCTCTTGCTAATGTACCTTTATGTATCGCAAGTACCTCCCTGAAGTGAAAAGCAGCCAGCAATCGAACTGATAATCGAGATACCAGTCAGAAAATTGCGAGTTGCTAGAATTTCGACGGTTCTCACACAAACAGTGATGCACAATGTACCTGGAAGGCTATGAAACCGTGTTAACTACCGAGTCGAAGTTTAAAAAGCTGCAGTAAATAATAACGTCCTGCCGCCATATACATCCATAGATGTTTACCTGTCTCCATGCAACAACGAATGCTGGTACTTACATCTACAATGGAGGAAGAGAACAAAGAAACTCTGGAAAGAGCATTCCACTTGTTAACCGACCATGCAGATCATTGTGTACAAAGTTAAAGGATAAAAAGAGGATAAAGCTCTTGCCGTTGATCAATCCCTGAGGGATGCGACATGCATTCGATTTCACTAAGCAGCGTTTGGAGGTGATTGAATGCATATCTGGCCTTTACAATGATTCGCGATGGCTTACCGATGTATGCAGCTAATGCCACTATCCTGCGCAGACAACTCCGGTGCCAATTTGCCGAATCCGGAGAGAAGGAAGGCATTGTGAGCCAGGGGCGCGGGGACCTATCCCATGTGTGTGTTGTGTTCAACAGTGCCTCCTACCACCGCGCCAAACGTGCACTGTGTACAGAGTTAGAAAGATATAAACATTCATAAACCTCCCAACGGTTTACCGCCTCATCGTGGTTGGGAGGTGTTCCTGTGTGTCAGGCTGCGATGTACAGCGGGGAACTCATCCCCTGGCAGAGTCTCCCAAGCTTGGAAGGAGACCGATGTTTCCATCAGGAGGCCAAGCTAAGAGTAAACCAATACCAGGATCCACCACTGTCCTGGTATCAAGGTCGCATGGTGGCAAATCTCCCTCTGATCAAGGGCGGCGACTGCCCACGGTGGTGACGACCTGGGGCAGACTTTGGCCTGGCTGACCTTAGTACTCCAGGGAAACACAATCGCCAAACCAGCAAAACTCACAAAAAATGGAGATTATGCTGGGGTCCGCACAACCAGTGAGGACGGGCCATTCAAGTATCAAGTATCAAGTAAACACTCATAAATAAGGACACCAACAAAAACCCTAAGAACATCCAACATATTTCAGGAAACCATGTAAACGTAGTCTTTCGCAACATTGAGATAACTCTAATGGCTAACAAATCCCATGCGTAAAAACGAAGGTGATTACTATTCCATAACCTAACAATCATCTTTATTATCTCATTATAAACTCATTTCATTAAATGATTATGTGAATCGTGGTAAAAACCTAGTACAACACAGAATTCATAACGGACAATGAAACATGTGATCACAGAACGACTAATTAAAACAATACACGTAGTATTTACAAAGTAGTACCTAACTATCAGGAACGCGAAATAGAAACCAAATAGACAATGGTAAGTGTGTTGAAATTAACAATGTCATACGCGAAAACGAAAGTGATTACTGTTCCGTAACATTTCGCAGAAACCGTATAGACATAACCCTAACAGCTAACAAATCCCATGCATAAAAACGAAGGTTATTACTATTCCATAACACATTGTAGTGAGAGAAACCCTATCGAGATAACTTTAACGGCTAAGACAGAACTATAAAAAACTTTGAACTGTAATTAGTTAACTAACACTTTGATTAGCACTTGTTTTCCATCAATTCCAGCAACGTGTGCGTATCCCAATTTGTGGCCATACGAATTAGTGCTTGATACTTTGTCGGTTCTGACAGTGCGGTTAAGATGACGTCAACCACAGTGCACATCTGAATGGTCTGCTCGATAACTGCATTGTTTCTCTCTTGTACGGTTGACATTGGAGGATTCCAGAACAATGTAAGCTGAGCAGGTGGACCGTCGATGAATATCGGATCTCTTGCCATGTCCAAACGCTGAATTTACGCAATGCATATGTGAAAGGAAGAGAAACGACCATGCAATACGTCTAGAAGAATACCGACATTTATGTAGACTCTCTTCACAATTCCGTATTTCAACACGAGAACGTCAAACGAAGCGTCCATTACATGGACCACAACTCCACGTGCTTCAATCGGGCTATTCTGCTGAAATAATACGGCGTTTCTTTTTTGTTCGTAATCATTTTCCCCCCAAAAAAAATAACGATACCTTAACGAACAGACCAAAGAACGTGTCGTCACTCGAACTGCTAACTGCTCTTGCTGCCAATTTTTTATCATTGCAGTGTTGAGCCTAAGAGAAAAGCTTTTAGTGTTGAGTCGGACGACAAAAACAAAAACAGTAATTACTTACCAGCTTTTCTAAATCAGCAACAGTTTTTTCCGTTGGTGGACAGTAGCCGAGTGCTGCAGCAAGTTGTCGATGAACTATTATGTCAGCATAACGCCGCAATGGGGACGTGAAATGCGTATATCTGTAAAAACGAGACAATAAAATCTACATTTTACACTAATGCAAATAAGTAAATAAAACCTATCAAGAGAGAGAACAGCGCCTACGAGCATGGTACAACGGTAGATTATCAACTGAAAGTTCTTATTTTTACCTAGCGTGCTCATACGGTCTCTAACCTTCAAGCGAAAATTATTACCTATAAAGCCTTCCCACTAAACTGTGTAACTATTAAAAGTCTAACAAATGTGGTTAAATAATTGATCAAATAACACGAGTTTCGGCGACACGTATAGTCCAGAGGTCAGAGGCGCACTGCAATACACATGGGATCGATCACCACGCCAAAGGCTCACGAAGCCTTCCTTCCCTTCGGGGTCGGTGAACTGGTACCAGACTTATCTGGGAGAATAACAACACTGACTCGATTAAATCGGTAGGCCACCGCGAGTCATTGTAAGGACCAGATATGCATTCAATCACCTCCAAACGATGCTTAATTAAGTCGAATGCATGGAGCATCCCACACGGATTGATCAACGCCGACAGCTTTATTTTCAACCTTTTTCAACATTAGTTTCGAATGTAGAAGTGAAACGGAGGTCATCTACCATCATCCTCTCCATAGCCTGCCTCACTCACAGAAATTCATCTCACGAAAAACGAAAAGTGAATCAGTTGCATACCCACAAACAAGATATGAAGCATACTTGGTTACTGGTCATATTTTTCTGCATTCGAGCCGGTTAAAACATTGTCAGTGCACTGATTTAACAAGCTCATAAGGGAGCGCTTTAAAAAACTATATTATTCAAAGAGTAAGATAGAGATTACAGCTGTGAGTTAGGTGGGTCCAAAACTGTTTCGAATATGTCTCTCTCTCTCCAGTCAAGGGGTACGAACAGCACTTCCTTCACCATCAACGAATTTCCAAAAGAACAGGTATCGAGATCCAATAAATGCACACGTCACAGTATTGGCAACAAATTATGAGTGAAGATTACACTTGCTTGTGAACACAAACCAGTATAGGATGGAATAAACGTTAAAAAAAAGCAGGTTGGAAAACTCCGCGTATTCAAAAAAAAAATCTAAAAAGGAGTTTCTGTATGAATCTTTGAGAAATAACGCCCTACAATTCGCCTAATGCGACTACGGAAAACTTAAGAATGAACGGCTATGGGCAGTGAAATCAAATCGTTTTGTCTCCAACGAACGCTAACGCGTCAAAACACTACCTGAATAAAACTCCGATCGCACCCTCATGTCAGCTTACTAGTGATATATATATATATATATATACATACATAAAGGATAAAAAGGATAAAGCTCTTGGCGTTGACAAATGCCTGAGGGATGCGCCCGCCACGCATTAGGCCTCAGTAGGCATCATTTGGATCACTCCACTAGTCGATTGTTGCGCTTCAGTTTCTTGTTCTAAACCCAAAATTTGAGGCATACCTGGGACAATCCGGGAAAAGAGTTTATATCTATGTTGCTAGCAATTTTTATATTTATGTTTACACATTTTATATCCAATTTAATGTTCAAACAGAGACCACGAGCATGAGTAGGAGACAGGAATACAGGGAACATCACCTCCAAGTTCCCTTGACCTAAAGCCACAGTACAGGTCTGATTCCTCTAACTCTTAAAAGAGAAATGGAACCAAGAAAAATACAGCGTCTCTCGACCCAGCTACGGAGAACGATGGAAGGAATTTTAGTATGCACTCTCAGATATTGGGTTTCACGCATATCAAACAATTTATCTAATAAAACTCAAAACAGAAACAAGCAGGCAATACTTCGACATCTGCTCTTTTAGATTGACAAGATTAAATTTCAGTTACGGTTGTTGAACTTCGCCAAAAGTGCCACTTTTTTTTATCTTTTTTACCCACCGTTATAAAGTGTTTCACTGCGTAGAAACGAAACGATGCTTGGTGCCGATGGATACTCGAAGCGGAAAGAAGAGAAATTTATGGACACAAAACTTTGCGCTGTCCCGGTGTGGAACACGACAGCCCAATCAGTGTTATCTTATACTATGCAGATGACGCGAAGCTTAACACCTCGACTACGTCCAGTTTATCAATTACACAGTCTGGATGATGTCCAATGCAAGAAAAGTGCCGTCCAACAGATTGGCCATTCGCGACGGCAAAGATCAAAAAGTCAGGTAAGGATTTTCGCAAACACAGCCATGCACGAAACACATCACCTCCACTGATGACCACGACAAAAAGCAAATCAAAAAAACGTAAGAATTGTTGATTATCGAGTTATTTGTAAAGATGATCCACTGAGGCATATCGGAGTTCAACAAAAACGTACACGATTGAACGTTGCAACACTTTCTGAACTCACAACGGTACATTCAGTGCATAGTGGTGGTACTCGCCGCGTTTTTTTGCAGATCCAGCGCACATGTAGTATCCCATTTGCATCGGCTTGGCTAATAGCATCGAAAGTACCTACAATTTTTATTAAATAAACACTCCAAATAGGCAGTTTGATGCGTGTGTACAAACGTCATACCTGGTTTATTGACTGTAGAAGCGAATTTCCACCCTGGAACTTACTCAGCGAAGACGCTAGGCGAGCAGATGACTCGGCATCCAGAGGAAAACCGATTTTCTCGCACAGCTCCAGCTGAAACAAATAGCGCTACAAGAGTACAATTCTATATAAAAAAAATTGGATAAGAATGTGTTAGGACGTTTAATTCTCAGACAATGAAGCGATTTGTTGACTAGAATGGAGCCACTACTCACAACTTCCCGAAGGAATTTCTGCTTAGGCGCCGAGTGCCTCCGAAGAAATGCAGTACGCGGGAAATGCGATTCTATCTTCGTTGCCACGCAAACATTTGCCAATAGCATGAACTCTTTCACCAATTTATGCGACTCTTGTAGCTAGAAATGTACAAACGAGTGTGTAAAAGATGGACCATGCATTCTAAGAGAACACGAACCTCCTCTGCTTTCACCGAAATCGGCATCTTTGTCTCCGCATTCAGAGTAAACACCAACCTCGGTTGTTCGATGCGCAGTGCTCCATTCTTCACACGTGTAGAACGCAAACGACGGGCGAGCATATGTAACTGCATCACCTGGTTCAGTAATGTTGTAATGTTATATTCTGAATATTACAAAAATATGCCACTGAGTATGTTGCGTTCAGTAACAAAATCAGAGAGTATACCTCAATCAACAGAAATAACGCACCTTTCTTCGAATTTCAGGAAGTGAAACATCGCCATGGATTTCAGGATAATCTTCTTCCACAAGTATTTTCTCAGGTTCCTCGATAAATCCCTACAAAGGAAAGTGTCTCTCGCCAATTCTTCAGAATAAAACCATGCTTTCCGCTTCAAACCGATCACAGTCTACAGAGAACAGGACTCTAAAGGAGTGGCGCAAAACCATCTCTCGTAACAGTTTGTTGGTCTGACATGAGAGACTGTTGCTGACGAGAAAATCGTTAGGATAGGATATTCCGGCGTAGATACAAAGGGTGCACGCCCAAAGGATGCTTGCAAACAGTACACCGTTGGAAACGTCACAGTTGCTCTATGATGATATGAGTGGAAATAGAAGGCACATATGTTGAGAAATCGATTATCGAATGCTGAAAACGTGTTGTTGGATAGTGAGTGAAACTTTCTTCGTCACAGAGAAAGTAGGAGTATTCCAAACAAAAAAAAACGTCTTCATCCACATTTCTACCAACCTCATCTCATCTTATTAGATATTAGAACCCGAAAAGATATTATCATCAACAATACATTGAGGAACTATGTGTGGGGCACAATGGACCGCATGCACTGGGTTCAATACATTTCTCGGACAGTGAAAATTTAGGTGTACCCGTAAAAATCATTACGTGATTAATCATCTCATGTCCAATGAGTATGCAAAGAATAACCTGGACATGACTGTAATCTAGCTGAATGCGAGACCGAATGATTGTACGTCCGAACCACTCATCGACTACAGAGCCATCCTTGTCCATCTTCCACATAACAGAAAAGGCTAGCCGATCTTTACCTGGTATAAAACTGCAGACATCCTCAGTAAGAACACGCGGTAACATAGGGATGGACTGAAATTCCAAAATTTCCCGGTTCAGGAATACAACTTTTGATAATGCATTTTTACACAGACTTAAAAACGTTATTAAAACTATTCCTCAACTAAGCCTAAAGATATAACTACTATCACATAGAAACAGGAAAGCAGTTCACCTTGTGAACAAGATTGACAGTACAAGCTCTATTTGCTGCCCATGTATCCAGTTCGGTATTTTCGAAAACAAAATGGGACACATCAGCCACATGAACTCCGATCTGGAAGCATGATTACCTTTTCGTAATTTGTGTTTTCAACATTATGACAAATACATGTTGTTGCTACTTTTGAAACAAGTTTGCCCGTCCCACTAAGAGCTGTAAGGATTCTGTTCCGCTACCTAGGGGGTAACTACGGTAAAGCACTAAACAGACATGTACATCTGTAAATGCAGGATCGATGTAAATGAATTATAAGAAACATAAGCGTTCACGAAATGTCATTTACGCTTTCCATGTACATTTTAGTACACATAAACTGCAAGCTCTACAGTTTGAACTCTTCCTGCTACGAAAACAATTTAAACACGAATATTTCCTGTACTAACCGCAACCCTCTCAACGGTTTATCATCTCATCGTGGCTGGAATGTGTTCATGTGTAAAGCAGGGGGATTCATTCCTCTGGTAAGGCCGCCCAAAATGAGAAGGAGTAGGGCATTTCAATCAGAAAGCTCAGCTAAGAGTAAACCAATACCAGGATCCACCACCGTCCTCGTATAAAACTGGTCTCATGGTGGCAACTTCCCTCTGATTCACAACGACTGCGACTGACTATGGTGATGACGACCTGGGTCCAGACTTCAGGAAGACACAATGGCTAAACCAGCAAAACTTCAAAAGATGGAGAGTGTGCCGGAGTCCGCACAGCCATCAAATACGGGTCGTCCAAGCATCCAAGTAAGTAAGTATTGACTGCAACTTTTTGCATTTTTGGTGTGTACGAAATAAGAAGTCGAAACAGACATTCAAATGGTGAGTCTTCACCATACGTGACGTGCCAAGATTTCTTTTACTGATTTCGTTGTCTCTCAGTCGCAAAAGACAGGTCTCCGATCAACCTATGGGTTTAGGTGCAACCTAAGAACCTGTCGTCTTCTCACCTTACTGAGATGTCAAATGATTGCGGAACATGTTCTGAAGTCGTAACAACAGTTCATAATATCTCGTTAAGGATCGGTCGCATTCTATAGAAACAGCTTTCGCGGGTTACACCATTTCGTAGTTCGCGGTTATGATAAGATGAGAATGGTTGCATTACGCATACCGTCGTCATAACATGGTAACTCTGCAAGCACACTTAGATAGGCCTTCCTCTAAAGCAATCTTAGCCAGTCAGACAGCGGTATATAAACAAGTACTGTACAAACTCCTTCCTCTATTCATAAAAAAGTGAAGAAGACTCATCACCAAACATTTAGTCACACTTCTTCACACATTAAAATTCTGGTTAGCCCGCTTCTTTGACTGACTACTCCCCGCTGAACTTATCAACCTTATAGCCACCATCTTAGGCTTCACCCTCTGCTTCACCATTTTCAGGTCGTCTGATGGGAAGCGCAAGAGTCTCACTATGCCCAGTGTCTTCACCTTCCTCATGTTCGTTCGTAAACCCATTCGAACGAGAACATCGTTCAATTCATTTTCTGCCGACATAGATTCAAAGCTGTAAAATCCAGCTTCCTGATATTTCCCTTTTTTCAATTTCCACGGCACATCATGGTTATGATATAAATGGGTTGTGGTAATACAACAAAAAAGTGTAGCAGAACATGCATACGTTGCCGAACCGATTACCAAATGCCAAAACATCGTGGCTTAAATAGTACAAAAACGCGTAAAGGACAAGATGTACATATTTAAAACCATGAAAACTGTGAAGCATGAGTCTAAAAACCAGGTAAAAATACACAATGGGGACGGGATCATTTCTTGGGAACGGATTTTCACCGAGATGACTCTTCTATCTCGTTCAGAGGTGAAATAATCTTGACTGTGTTACAAACGAGCGACTCACTTCAAATCCAGGTGTTCCTTTACCGTCGCAACTGTTTATTTCATCAATAGACAATGCGTCCTCTAATTCGTGAGCATTCTTAGCACTAATGGTGAACGTGACGGTATGACGTAAATCGCGTCGATATTTGAACTCCTTCTAAACATTGAGCAGTTAGAGGAACGTCTCTTACTTACGAAGATCCAACCAAGAAATTTTCGCACTGGGAACTCGAAAAAAGCCTTCCGCTAGAACAAAACGCTTAAAGAGGTGCCATGGCCTTACCTCATCTATTGTCCACTGTTTAGACTCAATTATAGGTAGACAATTCATGACTGGAACAGAAAATTCGCGTGTGTCGATATTGTTCGCGAACAAGAGACCTTCAGTTTCAGACTAAACGGAGTGAACTCTTAAAATTATCATAGATATAATAGAAAAAGTAACGTTCACTCTTCATCTCTTCATACAACGAATCTGTTTAAGTCTGTACCTGTTTTCATGCTCAACGACAGTCACATCTTACCATAGTTTACCAGTTTAAAAACAACAAATACAAGACAGAAACAGATCAAAAGAACAAGTGAAATCTCTATTTGTATTTTGTCAACTATGGATAGTTTAGCAAGATACTTGGATACTACGTGCATGGCCTATCTTCACTGTTTATGCGGTCCCCACCATAATTTACTTTTTCGGATTTTTGCTGGTTTAGCCATTCGTTCCCGGAATCACTATGTCCAAAGACTGACCCACGCCGCCGCCACCACAAGCATTTGCCGCCCTTGTGGATTAGAGGGAAATTTGCCACCATGTGACTTTCATACCAGGACGGTGATGGTTTCTGGTATCCGCTTACTCTCGACTGGGCTTCCTGATGGAAACGCCGGGCTCCACCTCAACTAGGGAGGCCCTACTGGAGGATGAATCCCACGCTGTATATCTCCAGTCCGACACCCAGGAACACACCTACCAGCCACGATGATGGGTTAAATTGTTGGGCGAGTTTAGTAAGACTGTGGATGTAAAGTGCTGACACGGTCAATAAAGACGCAGTTCATATTCAGATAGAAAGGCTTACTCGCCTAACGTTTCGAGTTTCGACGTCCTTGTCTTCATCAAAGCCGATCGACCATGGCTGTGGGTCTGATCATCAGCTCTGAGTAAGACGAAGACGTGGAAATGTTATCCGAATAACTCTTTTTATCAACTTCGTGTTAGCTTAATAACCGAGAAAGGAACTGATTATCAATTCCGATGATAAATGACCGTGGGCTTGAAAAATATAAATTCGAGAGCCTACCTCTACATCACCTGCTACTCCCAGAGTACGTTCCAATTTTCCTCTAGCGAATTGCGCCGTTGCTTGCCATTCAACCATTCTGGCGACAAATATAAATTTCGCGAAGTCCTTAATTCTGGCGGCTAAGGTGAAATCCTCACTACATTATGTGCTCTTCAATTTTTGATAGATTCCGTACAAAATAAACAAGTTTCATTCCAACATTTTCTTAGTGTCTTAAATGAATTGGTGAAAACTACACCAACAGAACTATCACTACCTGTGGCTTTTCGAAGAATCCAGATGGCAACTGTTCTGCAGGAATCAACATACGTGGCATACGAGAATCAGTTGGTGAAAACAGTGCCCAGTTAAGATTACCATCCGTCATCATTTTCAATTGTCCCATTGTCGCTCGACAGTTTTTCATTTCCATGATATACATCACCTGGAGGAAACATAAATCACTTCGACCTACAAAGAAAGAATCATCTCTGCTACTTTTTCAAAGCTGGTCATTTCACTTTTGGTGTATAACTTCTGGCCGCTAAATCGCTTAAAATGGTAACCACGAAAAGTGGTGAAATAACCCAATTAAGAAAGTAAAACACATAATGATTTCGTCACAATACTGGAATGACTTCCAGTACCAACCCATGCAGGAAGCACGGATTTCTTTACACAGCTCGTGATATTGGATCACTAATTTGAGCCAACCACTATTCTGGCTATAAAACGTTAAGCACAAATGAAATATAATTGGATTTAAGTAGAATCTATCCTAACTTTCTTTAGCAGGAGCAGTTTCCCTTCCAAAGTCTACAAAGCGGAATTACAATTCTGAATGACGCTTATAAAATGATACCTCAGCAGTTTTCTGAAGGCACACGTCTGGCACTCCCCAGTCTTCATCGGGCATGTCAGAGAGTGTTCTGTAAACAGATCGCTTCCCACGTGCAGAGATTTGGCCACGTTTAGTTATACCAGCAATTTTTCTTGCTACTTGTGTGTTCGTCAACGTTGTCAAGTCACCCATACGTCCTATCGATAGTGAATCGACGGTCCTCTACAAAAATAAAAGCATATTTCTTCAGTTCTTCTAAAGTGAATTCTGTTGTATTCTATTCTACATCACAGAACGCACCTGTACATCTAGAGAAGGAAGGCTAGGATGAGGCATAGGCAAAGCTGACCCTTGGCCCAACATGCACTCTCGACGAGCGATCTCGAGCTAAACAAAGTGAACCTATACATTTTTTTGCAATACTGTTGAGATATTTATCACAAAATGAACACCTTATAAAACTAATAAACCTAGATGTTTAACTACATAAATTCGAGTCATGATAGTATTTGAAGCAGCTAGGAATTCTTCGACATTTTACAAATTCAAATTTAAATTACTGCCTAAAAATCACATCAATAGAAGAAACTAACCACTAGCCTCCTTAGTGAAAATGTTTGAAGTGCACTAATATACTACCTGGGCTCCAATAATCACCATTGCTTGTCGGCCGTACTTTCTATCTTTACTAGGAGGCACCGTTTGATTCAAACTTGCCCTCCTAATGAGTGAATCAGTCAAACCTCCAATAGATATCTAAAAGGAACAAATAACACAAGACAGATACTATATTGTGGTCATATTTGGATATAACGGACAATTACCTCAACCAGGTCATCACATTTCGGAGCAGCCACAGGTGGAATAGTGATTGGTTGGCCATTATCTTCACGCGATACGTTCAAATGACCTGCTCGCCATGCTTGGTAGAGGTTCTCACGAATCTGGTATTTCTCCACTTAATTATAGTGACAGTAAGCTAAATAAACTATGAAAAAGTACGACACACCACCCAGTTCATGCGATCTTTAATACGTACAACAACGACATCGCCATGCAACGCTCGATTTCGATCATGAATACCAAGAATCAGTAGATCCAGCTGGTCATCACCGTCTGGGCTATCAACGTACGATTCTTCATAGTTGCGTTGATTGACACAAAGTGATCCCTTAAAAGCTAGAAGGATAAATCTATCGGCGTTGATCAATCCCTTAGGGATGTGCCATGGATTCGGCTTCATTAACCGTCGTTTCGAGGTGACTGAATGCATATCTAGCCTTCATAGTGACTCGAGGTGACCTGCTGATGTATCGAGTCGGTGCTCCTATCCTCCCAGACGAGTCTGGTACCAATTTGCCGAATCTGGATGGAAGGAAGGCTTGGTGGGCCGTGGGAGCCGGAATCTATCCCATGTGTATTTTAAGGAGCCTCCAACAACTGTGCCACACGCACCATTCAAAGTAAGCCCTTAATCCCTTTATAGACACAGCTTAAATCACCCCGTAATAGGAAATCTAACTGCTAAGTTATCATAAGCTAACTGCACCACCGCCACGTCTTAGTAACTAATACACCTGGAAATGAGCTGGAAAATGAAGAAATACGTGTCCACATGTGTTGCTGCGCATGAATGAAGTAGAAGGGAGTGAGGTAGTTCAGATACTGCGCTAAACTCTTAGAAAACACTTTAATCACCTTCAGCAGATCACCTGTAGCTAAACCTCTGGCTACCGCGTCCGAGCTCATATAAGGCATGAAATAGGGTTTGCGTGTTTTTTGACTACTCGACAGACCAGTCGACTGGCTTGAACTTTGATACATTGATAAACTCGTGCTGAAAAATTTTCGTTGAATAAACGGCACTGATATCACAGAACTCAGCCTTCACCTTGGTCTTGGTGGAAAATAGCTGTTTGTTGCTCTATAACTTAGAGAAGTAGTGGAGGCCGTTCGTCGTGTAGGAACGGTGATGGCATGGATATCTCCACCTTGAACAGGATCCTTATAGAGAGCAGCGTAACCTAAACTTCATAGTAACAGTAACTAAAGCATTGACAGAGCACTAAAACATACCATACTGGTTGGAAGAAGCAGAGTGGTGCGAACGCGGTGGTGGTGAGGATGGCCTCATTCTATGCACTGATGTCGAAACAGTGCGATTCAAAGGGAACATCGGCGATAAGTTCACCCACGGCAACAGAAAATCTGGTGACAACGGTACACCTCTACTACACTGATGATTGTCACGGTAATAGAAACCATCACCTAAAAATTCATCTTTGAGGAAATACGAAACCGATATTCATGTGACTGGCGAACGCGAAGTAACGAATCAAATGAAAAAAGTGTCCGAGTCCGGATATTTCATGTAGGCGGTTTATATGAACAGCTAAAAGATGACAGAATTAACAAATATTACAACCTCTGGACACAACATATAATGCTGAAGAGAGCCAATCCGCATCTATCTCAGTCTTCACCTCTGGGCAAAGGTGAAATAGCTTGTATACTAAACGTGTACTGTAGTCACAATAGTGCGACAATTGAGAATTTAGCTTCTTTATCACTTTAATGCTTACTTAAACTTTTGGATGACCCGACTTCACTGGTTGTGCATACAGCATCATAATTTCTGCTCCTCCTCCACTCCCCTTCACGATGTACATCACAGTCCAACTCCCAGGAATACCTAGCTCCCACGATGAAACGGTAAACCATTGGGAGGAAATATCACCTTAATATAACTTTAATGGTGCTGAGATATTTGCAAAATCCCGGATCGCAGGTGTCTGCTGTGGGAAGCGAACGCGATGTTGTCGTTTCCGAGGAGTAACGCGTTCACCACCACACCATGTGGGTCCTTCGTTTCGCCTGTCTCTCAGCTGGTTCCATCGATCTCTGCCATCACCTTAATAATGCCCCAAATTCAAGGTCACGCTCTAAGAAACAAGAGGAATTCGTATAAGCTTGTTTTGTGAAACAACACATGTCAAAATCTGATCTGTGCTTCCAGAAGCGTGAATTAACGAAGGGATAAAGAATAGAAGAATTATGTGCTCAAAGGTGATTTATCCCTCAGCGATATCCCGTGCACCCGAATCAAGTCAGTATTTTACATCCTCTGCGGTGAATATGGGATGTTTTGATAGACCATAGCGCGGACAGTAATCCGCGACCACGTTTATAACAGAGTAACAGTAACTACTGCACAACATAAACCCAAAAATCGGGAAACAAAGGACCTGATCATACCTTGAAACTGATCATGAAACGCTACTCAATAGTCGACACGAACAAAAAAAACCCTATTCGAACATGTCCTAGAAGCTTTCTTGTAGTTCTGTGACGGCAGCATTTGGCTGAATCAGAGGAAGGTTAACCTACCTAATGGACCAAATATATTGGTGCGGTAGTGCGATGAAGACGAAGTGTACGCGTCCATTGCCGTCTTGAACAATTCTGGACGAAGCGTCATCGAATTCGGTCCTGAGTCAGGATAATGATTGCAAATTCAAACCAGTCCCAGTCATGCGATTGCTACTTAGATTCCATGTGTTTGGAATGACATGCAAACACATAAATCACTGTTAAGCACAACTAGCATAACTGGAAGCGCAAAGAAGATTCCTCTGTGGTCAAAGATATTCATCCTTTACTTTTTAAAAAGGTGCAAACTCACTAACGGACGGAAAGCCCGGGACCTGAGGCATCTGACGCAAAGCGGCGCTAAATATTGCTTCAGGCTCGACGTTATTTCCAATGAGTCGATGCAAAATCGTTTGACCAACAGAAGTGTTTGACTGCGATCTTGCTAGACTTGATAAATGACCATATCCCGCACCCATCACCTCATTGACTGGCACTTTACCAGTGCGAACCTTAAGTTAATGGTCATGGCCGAGACGAGATTTAGCAAAACAAGCCTCAATGAGAAAGAGGTTGGTGGGGCAGGAAACAACTCAGTGATTTTTACCCTTTTTTGTAATTCATCGAGTAACGCCGAACCACTCCTAGACAGATCAGACTCGACTGATGACACGGATCTGTTCTGAATATTCTGAAAATGTGTTATAACCTGCCTCAACAATGACCTTGAAAAAAGCTTCAACTTCTTACTTTGCTTATTTCTTTAAGTCTATCTTTGCTTTTTTTAGAATGCCTTCGTCTCTTCTGAGAACCGCAATTTTCCTAAAATACTCATGATTTGAGCAGGATACTGGCAGATTTCACAGAGATATCCCTGCAATGGTGAGATGGAAGCAATGTTAAAGATAATCAGCGACAACAGCGATGATGAATAGATCCGCAATTCATACAGATTTTAGGTCCATAGCCAAACCTCTCTATTTCCTTGAAAACCAACATAACAAGCACTGATGCAATGATATAGCTGCGGAAGGAAGAAGATACTTACTTGGATACTGGGATGGACCGTCTTCACTGGTTGTGCGAGCCCCATCATAATTTACATTCTTTTTTCGGAGTTTTGATGGTTTCGTTATTACGCGTTCCTGGAGTGCTGAGGACAGCATGGCCAAGGTCTGCTCCAGGTCGTCCCCACCACAGGCGGTCGTCGTCCTTGTGGATCAGAGGGAGATTTACTATCATGCGACTTTGATAGCAGGAAAGTGGTGGATTCTGGTATTGGTTGGCTCTTAGTTAGGCCTCCTGATGGAAACGCCGGACTCGTTCTCAGCTTCGGAGACCTGCAGTACGGATGAATCACTCTGCTGTACGTCGCAGTCCGACGCCCAGGAACACCTCGCAGCCATTATGAGATGGTATACCGTTGGGAGAAATTGTGGTAATGAATGTACTAAAAGCAGACCTTATTGATACTTGTTGTTACCACTTCACTGGAGTCATCTGTTGTGGCAGCACATGTTGGCAACGATTTCGACTCCTTTAAGAAGAAACAATCACCTAACGCAAGTCTTTAACCGCTAATTCTACAGAAGCATAAGTCACCTTGGATTTTTCTAGTCTTCTGCATCTTCGCTTTTTTCGAGTGGACAAGCGAGATGAGGCGTTTAACGAACTTTGTTCAGCCGCTCTCACTTCAATCATCTAAAACAACTCAATTTACAAGATGTGAGCTTAGTAACTGATCATTAACCACGACGATGAACGTCGCTTCATTTTCTGAGCCGTAGGACATTGCAAATAGAACAGAACCATAGAGGTGACTTATATGAATACAGCCTCTACACACTAATACACCAATCGGCAAGAGATACCGGCGGAGATGAGACATCATCTGGATGAATTGCAAACAATGAGGAAGAAAAACCACGAGAACAGAATACTACGTTCGTCAAGTAACCAATTAAGGATAAGAAGATCTATTTATAGGTTTGTTTCACAACATTATTGAATCGCTGAGTAAAGTAGACCGGTTCGGAAAGAGTATAGTTCCTGATGTCCGATGATGAAGCCGACTGACAAGGATACGAGAGCGCCAACTGAAGTGGATACCCGACATTCCCGCNAGGTGACTTATATGAATACAGCCTCTACACACTAATACACCAATCGGCAAGAGATACCGGCGGAGATGAGACATCATCTGGATGAATTGCAAACAATGAGGAAGAAAAACCACGAGAACAGAATACTACGTTCGTCAAGTAACCAATTAAGGATAAGAAGATCTATTTATAGGTTTGTTTCACAGCATTATTGAATCGCTGAGTAAAGTAGACCGGTTCGGAAAGAGTATAGTTCCTGATGTCCAATGATGAAGCCGACTGACAAGGATACGAGAGCGCCAACTGAAGTGGATACCCGACATTCCCGCGCCCATTATTGATATTCCCTTTTGATTGAACATTTGACCAGAGGTATGATGTGCCTTGCTCTACCTTCTTACAGCCATAATAAAAAATGTTAAAACTGTAATCTGTAGAACTCCAGTAGCCAAACGGAAGCTGTAGATGGTACCCGAGGATGTATATTGGTACCGGCTTCCTTCTCTGTATTTTCCATCTTTATGATCTGTTTGCACTTTTTACGTCTCACTGAAGATCTAGGTTGCATTGACTAGCTGATGACACTGTATCGCACAACCCTCTATCAGCCGTAAAGCCTCACAAGATGGCTAAAATGAGTTGAACACAAATGTAAGGGATAGAAGGTGATGGATTGTAGATCGACAGTAGTGTAGATCTAAACGTTCAGGCTCATAGTGGCGCAACTTCGCGGATTTTTTCATTTTCCCTGTGCTTGTTATCTGAAATCCATGGATTCTCTTTGGATAAGATGGTCCATTACTCGTGAAGCCGCATTCTNTCACTGAAGATCTAGGTTGCATTGACTAGCTGATGACACTGTATCGCACAACCCTCTATCAGCCGTAAAGCCTCACAAGATGGCTAAAATGAGTTGGACACAAATGTAAGGGATAGAAGGTGATGGATTGTAGATCGACAGTAGTGTAGATCTAAACGTTCAGGCTCATAGTGACGCAACTTCGCGGATTTTTTCATTTTCCCTGTGCTTGTTATCTGAAATCCATGGATTCTCTTTGGATAAGATGGTCCATTACTCGTGAAGCCGCATTCTGTGCTCTACGGTGGGAAGGAGGAGCTTAAATGCGGACCAGAATGACCAGAAAACTCGTCCTAGGACCTAAGTGGACTCAACGACGGATTCTGTCACTGATTAAACGGACAAATCGGCGTCGATATGGATGTGGATTATATCCTACAAGGCGACTGGAGCGAAAGCCTATAATCAAGTGAATAGAACTTCTATGCGAGGTAGTTTGGAGGAGCTTCCATCGCGTAATTTCATGAGATCCTGAAGTGGTTCCCGGAGGATGC